TATATATACAGAGGAAGAAAAAGAAAAAGATACATCCCTGAAGATGACCCAAGAGCTCAGTGAAGAGAACGAAATGCTTCAGCAGAGACTTGAAGATGCTGAAGATAGATGTGACCAGCTTATTCAACTCAAAAATTTTCTAGGACACCGAATATTGCCCCCAATTGCATCCTTGAAAATGTTACCTGGACTTGCTTCACAGACATCCACAAGCAAAGATGAAGACATACAGGACAGAATAGACAGTATTCTAAATAAAGAATTTGAAAATGTTATTGATGATTCTCAAAGGAAAGGGACCAAAGACACTGCACTAAGGTGGGAATCATCTGTGACACACGCAGCCCAAGCTGAAGTGGCTGAACATACGGCTAGAGATAGCACAGAGTTGAAGTCAGAGGAGACTGCCCAGAAAGGCCCACAGCCACCGGGGACCTCTGATTCAACTCAGGGTAAAGATGAAAACAAAGGCTTGGAGATCAGGTCTAGTCAATTACCTGCTCTAGAAAAGAAGAAAAAAGAAGGAAAATTCTTGTCAGAAGTCAAACCAAGGAGCCAAGATCCCAAGAGTGGAGCAGGTCCCGTGTGGGATCGACTCAAGAAGTCCAAACCTGAACACACACTTGGAAAAGCCCAGTTTCCTCAGAGGTTAAAATGGAATCCATAGCTAAGTCAGTAGCTAAAGAGAGCAAACGTGAAGCAAGCACCATAGCAGAGCCCATCAAGATGACCCAATCTGAGATCACCTCTGAGCCATACAAAACAGAAATGAAAGGAAAAAAACACATACCAGGAACTGCTACAAGCAAAGCAGGAAAACCTGAAGAGAAAGAGCTATTACTCCGTACCAAACCACCTGATAAGTCACAGTTAAGAGCCTTACACAGATTTCAGAAAGTTCTGATGACAAAAGTCAACAAAGCAACCTAGAAGCATTTCAAAGAGCCATATTGGCTTTCATAAAAGAGAAAACTAACAACATAGGAAAGACTTTTGATCCAAAGAGTGTGCTGAAGGAGGAGGAATCATTAAAAAGAGAAGAAGTTGAAAAATTAAACACCATAAGGGAAAAAATGGAGGAATATTTCCAAAGAGTGGCTGATACTGTGACTAAAATCTTGAGGATGTACAAAGATATAAGAAACGAAGGACAAAGTAGAGAGAAAGCTATGAAGCAACAAAAGGTAACCGTATTTACACAATTGCACTTTGAGAAGTCACTGATGAGAACAAAATCTGAGATTGCCTCCTTTCTCTTAAATGAGATCACAGACCCACTAATGAGGAGTTTAATACAAGCACTCTTAGATGAAATAGAGAGTGAAAAAGAAATTGCCACAGCCTTAAAAGTAGGGAAGAGGCAAGAGGACCATTTGCAGGAAGGCCAAGACAGAATGTCTGGCTATGAGAAAAGAACGCTGTGTCAGACCAAGGAAGAAAAGCAAGAACAACAGATGCACAAACCGTGGCAAGAGGAGGAGAAGGCATGGAGCAAACAGGAAAAACAGAGACTTCAAAAGCAATGGGAAAGAGAAAGAGAAGATCAGGAGGAGCCCAGGCAGCAGGTGGACGGGCTACGGATGGGGCAGGCTCAAGACCTGAAGATGAGAGAAGAGATTAACAAGGAGAAGCAGACGCTAATAGGAGAGATAGAGGAGGCTGACAAGCTGGCGTGGAGCAAAGCAAAGCATCCAGTGCAGACTGAAATAAAACCTGAAGAAGATCTATCAAGAATGTTCACCCAAACTGCAATGATATTAGCTCCCAGGTGGATGGAAAAATTGAAACCCCAGAGAAGTCAAGGACAATTGACCCAACTGGAGCCTAATGCACTGGAGAATCTGTCATATGAAAAGCATTCCCAAACAGCCATTCCTCCCTAC